AAATTTTTACAGTACAACATTATCTAAAACCAAGCTCCAGTTGACATAAACCCTATAGCTCAATACTACACATTTATTTTGCCCCTTACAGTTTGCAAAGTGCTTTCTCATACACTATTCAATCTTTCAGGCCCAATGTACTCTGAACAGACTTCTAGCAGAGCACCTATAAGACTTTATTGCATTTGTAATTCTATAATTGTGGTCTACTAAAATTAATCCCTTGAAAGCAGGAACTAGCTTATTCATTCTTTAAAACCTCAAAGGCTACCATATTGCCTGATACATAGGAGGTCAGTAACTCAATCAAGTAATTTTGAACACTGTGTTTAACAGGTTCAAAAGTTAACTGAGGCCGGGCGCAGTGGCTCACGCCTGTAATCCTAGCTCTCTGGGAGGCTGAGGCGGGCTGATTGTTCGAGCTCAGGAGTTCAAAACCAGCCTGAGCAAGAGCGAGACACCGTCTCTACTAAAAATAGAAAGAAATTAATCAGACAACTAAAAATATATAGAAAAAATTAGCCTGGCGTGGTGGCTCATGCCTGTAGTCCCAGCTACTCGGGAGGCTGAGGCAGAAGGATTGCTTGAGCCCAGGAGTTTGAGGTTGCTGTGAGCTAGGCTGACGCCATGGAACTCTAGCCCGGGCAACACAGTGAGACTTTGTCTCAAAAAAAAAAAAAAAGTTAACTGACTCTTTTCTCAAAGGTAGAGCCTAATTCCTCTTTGCTCGAGTGTGCATTGGACTTAGTGACTCACTTCTAATAAACAGAATGTAGAAGTGATCATATGTGACTTCCAAGACTAGGTCACAAAATGCATTGCACTTTCTTCCTTGCTTCACTCTCTAGGATGGCTTGCTCTGGGAAAGCCAGCTGCCATGTTGTGATGACACTCGAGCAGTCCTATGGCGATGTCCTCTTGGCAAGGAACTGAAGCCTCCTGTCAAAAGGCAAGTAAGTGCACCATCTTGGAAGCAAGTCTCCAGCCCCCGTCAAGCCTTCGAATGACTGCGGCCCCATATAACCTCTTAACTACAACCACAAGTGACCTTATTCCAGAACTACCCAGCTAAGCCATTCCCAATGCCTGACCCACAGAAACTGTGCATTAATACATGTGTGTTCCTTTAAGCCATTAAGCTTTGGGGTAATTTGCTACACAGGCAATAAATAACTAATACACCTATGATAGTAAGGAATAGCAATAAGAGAAATAAAACAATTTTATTATTATTTATAAGACTAACAGAAAAATAATAACAAAACTAACACAGCAGCTATCATTTATGGTTTACTCTTTTAGGTACTCCACCTACATTATTATTTTATTTACTCTTCACAAGAATATTATGAGACAGATGGTAATATTTTCATTTTACATATGGGGAAATGCAGACTTAGATTAAGTCACTTGGCTAAAGTGCTGATAAGTGGCACAAAAAAATTGAAACTAAGGTCTCCTCGTTTCCAAATCCCATGCTCTTAAGCGCTGTGCACATTATCTCCTCATATACTTTTATTGATTGAGAAAGAATGAAAGATATCAATCAAGCCTATATTATAACTTTCTCAAATCCTAGACATCTTTGCCTCCTTGATCTCCTTCCTCCATTAAAAAATATTTAAAATTATATTAATACAAAGACTAATATAATGAAGGCTAAATTATTATATATTTATTATATTCATTTTTCCTCATTTTAAAATAAATTAAAATTAAAACATTTCCAATGGTCCCTAAAAGAGTTGTGGCTCTAGCTAGTGTGCCTGCTGTGCCTGATGGATAAGTAGGCTTTAGCGTCAACTGTACACAGAAATCAAATAAGCAAGTCCAGAGAAAAAGAAATTTGATGTCACATTTTCAAAGCCAAAGATATCATCTCTAATGACTTTGCTTTCTTCTTTTCTAACCAATAAATGGTACAGGGAAGTAGGAAGCAATCATAACCCACAGGGTTTGCTTTAGGGTGGGGAAAGATTATAATGTATATGTGGTGCTCAGTATCTCAGTATATGAGGTTGAAAGAAAGGATGCCAGGACAGAAATTGAACCTCTCCCCTGAGAAAGGTTGGCAGGGCCTCTGTGCTCAACTGTGTTCAGCTCTCTTGGAAAGGAGAGTTCGTATGAGTAGTTTTGAGATCCCGCTCCCTGGGACCCACCTGGACTGGGCTATGACTGCCTCATTCATCATTTCTCTGAAGGAGAGACACCCATGAGCAGAGGGACAGCCCTCAGAAGTCAAGTCCCTGGAGACAGCATGGAGTAATGAACAAGTAACAAAAAAGTAACAAAAAGTTTAGATCTGGTACAAATTTCAGTTTCTCTACTAGATAACTGTGTGATTTGGGGTAAACTATCTTTGTGGTGCCTTAGTTTTCTCATCTGCAAAATGAGGGCTTTCTGGCAAAGACAGTGCTCAACAAATAGCCATATTCTCCCCTCAAATTCACAGCCAGTGGCTGGCTAATGGGCTGTGAACAGAAGTGACATGTGTCTACTCCCAGGCAAGGCAGTTAAAAGATGGTGTATCGCCATATATCTCTTCTCCTTCCACAGCAACTTTGGAAGCCACATATTCAAGACAGAATAACTAAAAAATGACAAGTGGCCTAAATCCATGAGTGACTGTCTGGAGGACAGCTGTGAAGGTGGTCTGCCAGACCCCCATTTAACTTTAGGTGAGAGTAAAATAAACAGAAGTTTACTGGTCTGGAGTTACATGTTACTGCAGCATCCCTTAGCTTATCCTGACTAATAGAGACTGTAAATGCCAACTTTGCTGAATTGTGAGGATAAAATAGGAGGCTAATGTAAAGCATCAAAAACAGTGCCTGGAAGAAAGAATTCACTCAGTAAGCATCTTTTTCCTTCTCTACTTTCAAAAACTGTGTTTTTCTCCAAAGGATTAATCTCACTGGGCAAGAGCTGTTCCTTTCTGATAATAATTTAGTGTTGGGACCCTAGACACAGAATTCTGAGAAAGATGGAGGTTGTACACAGTCTCATCGACGGAGGTCTTCCAGCCTCATAATGGCTCCTATCCCCCACAGAACTCAGTACAGACACTTTGCAGGAACTACACTCAACTCAATTCCCTTGGAGTGTAGAAAATGCAGATGGAGTCAGAGTAGAGTGATAGTGCTGGCATATTTTAAATGTCTGTTTGGGTGTCTTGTGGCCAGAAGGCTTACTAATGCTGACTCAGGAACATTACCCAGGATTTTGAGTGAGGGCTTGCTGGAGCCCAAAGAAGCAGGACACTTTTGAACACTATCCCATCTACAATCTCAGCATTTGTGATTCAAGCCTCTCAGACATGACTTAGATGTGTGTTAGGGAAATTGAGGCCCAAAGTGGGAAAGGGCTTGCTCCAGGTCCTTCTGCCTGCAAGTGGCTAAATCCCAACACTGACCCTGTCTCCCAGAGCTCTTTCAACCCACCAATAGCCACCCTGGATTGGCCAGCCTCCCATCCGGTCACCTCTTCCTGATGTCACCTGCCTGAGAGGGGGCTGTCAAAAATAAACACTAAAATCAGGCTTGGCAAGCCTTTCCGGCATCCATTTTGCAGTGATTTCTCTGGGTGCACACTAGATTGATGTAGGTATTAAAAGTCAGCCCTACCTCAGTAATCAGACAGAAAAGCTATAATCACCCCAGGCATTTCCAAGGGACCTTTCAAAGACCATCATTAGTTCAGAATAAATCTCTACTACCAACACTTTCCAATTATAATCTTGACATTCCTATTTTATGCTACAAAATGCCTCTGCCAGTTAATGAAAAAGAAAAAAAAGCCTACTTTTTAAAGCACATGTATTTGGTAGCCTAAGTGTCTGAGTTAATTTTCTAAAATTAAAACAAAACTGACAACAAAAAATTTGTGGTATCTCTTCTTCCTCCCTTATGCACCCCCTTCCCTCATCCATATAGTCTATTTGGAAGGGAACAATAAATTTTCTTACTCTCTAGGACTGGGAGCTTGTTACTTGACATACCTGAGACCCTCAAAAGAGACAGGATTTCTAGGCTGAGGAGGTTGCTGAGCACCTACTAGGCCCTGGCCAAAAGGCGGGAAGGTCCAGGCAGAATGATAACTGTGGTGAGAGAAGATCTGCCCATTGCAGTTTCCTTCAGCTCGTTGCATCTCCACCCCTTACAGCTCGCAGGCAATGCCCTGTTGCTCTCCTCCTTTCTCCCGCCAGCTCTGCCACCCGCCGTGTGCCAGGCACTGTGCTAGGTGCTTTACCTTCTTCATCTCATGTAATCCTCACCAACGGCCCTATGAAGTAGGAATTAACATTGTTTAAAGATGAGAAAACGAGGCCCACAGAAATTAAGCAACTTTCCTCATTTCCCAAGCTTGGATTTGAACCCATGATTCTGTCTCTCTCCTAAATCCCTAGAGGATAATGCTGCGGTTGGGATAATGAAAAGACAGTGAGACTTGGATTATTTTATCTTCACATCCCCTCACCCTCTTGGCAGGCAGCTGGCTGATAATGCTGGGGAATAGTTTCTGGACTGCACAGGATGGACGGGGGTCTGGTGGAGACAGAAAATAAGGGGTGAATGGCCACAGGAATTTCTACAAAATGAATCCCAGCCCACAGACGTCCCTCAAGGCCTAGTTGGGACCAGGAAGTTGGTCCCTCGAGGACTCACATGGACACAAGCACACCAAGGGAAAAGCAAGAGAGAGAGCACCTAATAAGACGTGCCTTCACCACTACCGAGAGAAGCTGCACCTGCAAGCCTCTCCAGCCTCATGGTGAGGTGGTGTCAGCTCCGGCTCCAGCCCTAGTGTGCAGGTGGTGAACACCCCAGCAGTGCCTTTCAGGAGAAAAGGCTGCAAACTCCTCCTGCGCTCCAGGTGCACTGGCGGTCAACCTTTTCGCGCGCCCCAAGTGTGCCAGCTGCCGCCCCGCTCTCTTTCTCCAAGCTTCCTCCTCCCACAGCGCCCTCCTCGCTAGACGCCCCATTCCGCAGCCAGGCCCTCACCTGCATGGTGGCTGGCAACGGCTGCACAGCCCTCTGGCGGCGGCCGAAGCGAAGCTTGGCCGCCTTGTATATCTTCCAGTAGACAAACAGCACCACGCCGAGCGGCAGGTAGAAGGCACCGCAGGTGGAGAAGACGGCGTAGGAAGGTTCCTGGCTCACTTGGCAGCGCTGGAGCCGGGGGTCGTACGCCTCTCCCCAGCCGAAGAGCAGCGGCGCGAGGGCGATGAGCGCCGACAGCGCCCAGGTGAGCGCGATCATGAGCGCCGAGGCACGGCGGCGGGTGCGCAGCCTGTAGTGCAGGTGCCGCGTGATGGTCCAGTAGCGGTCCAGGGCGATGGCCGCCACGTTCCAGATGCTGGCCGTGCAGCACAGCACGTCGAAGGAGATCCACACGTGGCACAGGCTGCGGCCCAGCCGCCAACGTCGCCCAGCTGATAGCTCGCTCACCAGGCTCAATGGCATGACCAGCGCTGCCACCAGCACGTCCGACACGGCCGTCGAGGCCACCAAGTTGTGCGGCACGCGATGGAAGGCGCGGACGCGCAGGATGGTGACCAGAACCAGCAGGTTCCACAGGAAAGTGGCCGCGATCAGCATCACCAGCAGTGTCACCACCAGCACCGTGAAGACAGAGAAGGGCGGCTCCCGGCCAGGCAGGACAGCACCACCCGGGGTCGACCCGACGACCCCGTCCGGGCGTGGGCTGCTGCTGCAAATCTCAGGTCCCCGGGCGAGGGCAACGCTCGCAGTGGCCACCGAGAGGTTGGCGGCTTCCATGGAGCACTGGATTGGGGCTCTCCGGCAGGGGACGCACAAGTCGTCCAGGAGCTCGGCGCGGACTGGGCGGGTGGGGCGCGGGAAGGGGTACTGCTTGCCCAGGGAGGCGCGGAGAGGGGTCCAGGTCGTCCTACCCTGGCCCTCCTTTGGGCCGCCCCCCACCTTTGGCGCTTCTGCCTGGAGCCCTTGTGGACCCTCTTTTCCAGCAGAGGAAAAAAGGGAAGTAGGAGTAGAGGAGCTCGGTCCAGCTCCGCTTGGCCCCTCCGTCCCTCCCACCTCTCCTGGCGGTCCTGGGTGCGACCAGCTGTCAGAGGGCTGGGACTCCCAGAGCGCAGCCGAGTGTCCGCGCTCAGGGGCGGGCTGGGAGGCTGCTGGAGCCCAGCGGCACCTGGGGCGGGCAGAAGCGGGGGCGGTCTGGAGAAGCCACCAATGGGAGACGGGCCCTCAACGCTGTCCCCGCTGGTCCCCCGCCTCGGGTAGGCGGAGAGAAGCCTAACCGCGTAGTCTGGAAAAGGCTTGCAATCGCGTGGGAATCCCGCTGCTGCCATCTCCGCGGTTCCCTCCGATCCGCCCGATGGAACGATTTGACGCTGGGAAACAGAGGGTCCGGCCCTGTTCCGGCCGAGGGGTTCTGGTTTCCTGGAATCGCGATTATACCGGTACCTGAAATAGGAGACCCAGGTATTGGGATGTATGAAACAGAAAGCTCCTAAACCCAGCCCCATCCTGCCGCTTAGCTTGCAACGTTCGCCCGGCGAGGGCTTGGTGGAGCCTTGAGGAGTTCACTCGCTGGCTGTGAGCAGAGAGGACGCGGCTTCTGAGCGGGCAGAGGCGTGGAAGAGGGACGGTTCCCACCACCTTCGCGGGCTCCAACTCCACAGCGTATGCCCAGTCCCAGCACGTCCGCACGCTCCACCCCGTCCCTCTCTTCCCGTTTCTAATGTTCCTGAGTATATGTCTTCCAGTTCACCATATCCAGGTCCAATCTGGAGTTATTTTTAGTGACCCTTGGGCAAAGGTAGAAACCAATTCGAAAAGTGAAATCCCCCACCCCTCCACCCACAGCCCCCATTGTCAGTCTCTCACGCTTTTAAAAAATAGTTCAGTCGTAATGAAATCAATCTGAAGCTGTGCTACCTATGTTCCTGGCCGTGGGATAGAACACAGAGCCCAATCTGCCCCTTCCGAACAGGTGCAGGCTGAGAAGGGCGCTCAGATGAGGCGGGGCGTGCCCTGCACCCTCGGAGTGAGCGCCCAAGAAGGAAGATTTTCTGGAAAGGCCACCTAGATGGACGCAGGTGGAGAGCTTCTCCCAGAAGTCGCACCCCAGGCACCGGGGACAATCTTGTCCTGCAGGAGGGAGAGACACTCCAAGAATGCCCTTCTTTACTTTCCTGTCCTCGTGCATTCACGAGCAGGCACTTTCTACTTTCTTAGCACTGTGCACGCCACTTCTTGCTTACACGGACTTGGTGGCACACAAAGAGCAACATGCAAGGAGTCAAAGTGCAAATATTAATACCTGGACTTACAGGCTCAAGTGGCGCAAGCTGTTGGTAAAAATATCAGAGATGGTGGACTGTTCAGGGATCACAGAGCCGGGGGAAGTTGTGGTGAGGAAAGGCTTCTCGAGGAAGAGGAGGTTGAAATTATACTGAAGAGTAAGGAAGGAATTTAGGTATTGGACAAGATGAGTGGAGTGCCGGACCTCAAAGCAGGCTGCCGGCCGCAGTGCGAATGGTCGTGGTGGAAGCTGGCGGGAGATGAGATGCAGGATGTGAAGAAATGTCAAGGAGCAGGCTTTGGACTCGATCACGGAGGAAGCTGGATTTTGGAAGTGTTTGAGAAAGTTAACCTGATGAGGAGAATTATTTAGAAGGAAATGAAGACTAACCTTTGAAATATCTTCACAATAATATTTTCCCCATCTTATTGAACATTTTAACAAGCATAAAGAATATTAAAAATGTAAAACATTCATATTGCCCTAGCCAGATACATGACATGTTTTTATTCCCAGTCTTTGTTCCTATCCACATACATTTTTTATGTGTAAAATCAATTTTTTATTTTGTAGCTCTCTCAACATTTTTCATGTTATTATATATTCTCTTCATAGTTATACTTTATATATTGTACCGTTTATCAGTTGGGAGAGTCTGAGCAACTTAAGCTTTCTGAGACTCACTTTCCTTATCTTAAAAATGGGAATAATTATACGTGTCACGAGATCATTATAAAGTCAGATAGAGCCAGTAGCACAGGCTTAAGTGTTCAATAAATGATGACTGTTCCTGCTCCTTTTAACTTCCAGTCTAAACTTTAGATTCAGTTCTCTTATGCTCTTTGACACAGATTATACTTTTACATTGTTTTAATCTCTCAAATATTTATAACAACAAAACACTTTCACACACTTTATTTCACTTGCTCTTACCCACAACCTTTTTAGGCATCATTCCCAGTTGCAAATGAAGAAATGGAGAGAGATTTGTTAACTTGCTGCTGTCGACTGAATTGTGCTCACCTCAAATCCATGTGTTGACGCCCTAATCCCCAATGCAACTATATTTGGGGATAGGATCTATGAGAAGGTGATAAGGTTAAATGAGGTCATAAGTGTGGGGCCCTGATTCAATAGGATTAGTGTCCTTATGGGAGGAGACACCAGAGACCTTATTCTCTCTTTCCTTATCATGTGAAGACATAGGATTCTGCCCACAAGCCAGGAGGAGGGTCCTCACCAGAAACTGAATCTGCCAGCACCTTGGGACTGTCAGCTGGCACTCAGCTCTCTGACCCCTCATTCCCTATTTGTTCGTAACACCAGGCTGACCTCCATACATTGGACTGGGAATTCAATCTGATTATTTTCATTTAATTCTTTTATGTAATAGTTTTATGTAAAAAGTCCACATGCTTTTCCTTTCGGAAAACTATATTGTGTTTCAATTTCAAATCTTCCTGGGTTTCTCTACCTTCCTCTCTGACTACTCTCCCTCTGCCAACTGCTCCAGCCACATTGGCCTCCTGGTTCCCTAAACGTGACAAACATGCTCCTTTCTCAGGCTTCTGTGTGTGCTGTCCCTCCGCCCAGGGTGCTCTTCCCCCAGATAGGTGTGGCTCATTCACCGATGCCATTTGGGTCTCTGCTCCACTACAACCATCACAGACTGGCCTTCCCTGACCATGGGACCTAGGATCCATCACTCTGTCTAAAGGTGTCCTCTGTCCCACCACTGTACTTATTTCTTTTCACAGCTCTTTACAGAAGTGACATTATTACTTAATTCCCTTTACATTGTCTGACTTTCCCACTAAAATGTGAGCTCTTCTCGGGCAGGAAATTTGTTCACTGCAGTATCCTTAGCATCTAGTTCTGTGCCAGGCACATAGTTGGTGGCTCAATACATTTGAATGAGTTTGTTGAATGAATGAATGAGGCATTGTTGGGAGAGGTGGACCATGAGCCCTGCGCATCTCCTGTACCTTCTTGTTGGGTGTGCCAAGAGTGCAAGGCCCTGACTTCTTGTTGCTCAGGCCATTCCTCAGAGTTGTGCTTGTAGCAAGCGACCTTAAAGGACGAGGTAACCTCTCCCCCTGGGCAGAGGGCAGGCTTGCTTCCACTTAGTGTCAAAGTGCTGAATCCCAAGCTAGGTGTTTCTGTAACACAGCCCACTGCCATGCAGGCATTCATCATGGGCCCTTTCTGTCACCCTCCTGCAACTTGGGAAACATGGGGAGCTAGTATTTGTTCATCAAGTCTCAGACCAAGGGTTAGCCCTTTCGAGAAGCTGGTTCTGATCTCTACATCTGCCCCAGCCCCAGCCCTAGCTGGTGGTCCTGCGCTGGCCAGCCCCTGAAGCCAGTGCTGGGACAGGGACTGCTAGACGATAGGCTCCCTGAGGACGTGGCTGGGCACTGGGCCTCTCTGAGCTTTCCCTGCCATGCACCCCACTCACCATCCCCTGCCCCAGGGCCTGGCATGGCTCAGTAAACCTGCATGCATGAATGAATGAATGAGGAAAGATGTGAACAGAACCAAGAACCTGCACGCTGAAGATGGAGAAAGGCGGAGGGTGTTTAATGATATCAGGGAAGACAGTTCTAAGCATGAAGCCAAGTGGAAGAAAAGAAACAGTAAAAGAGCAAGGAGGAAATGCAAAGAGTTTGGATTCTTTTGAAATGTTTACAGATGTTAGGATGGGGTCGAGACAAACCCCTGTGTTGCAGCTTGAACATCTCCTCAGAATGGTCTAATTTATTGGTTCTCAAACTTCAGCTGACATCAGAGTCACCCAGACAGCTTGTTCAGACACGGATTTCTGGGCCCACCCCCAAAGTAATGTCTGGACTTGGGGCCGAGAGTTTGCATTTCTAACAAATATCCAGGGCACGACGATGCAGCTGATCTAGGGACGATGCAGCTGATCCAGGGACCACGCTTAGGGAACCACTGGTCGAAAGTAGGATTCTCCGTCCTTCTCTGTTCACTTTCCATTTCCCTTTATGCAGCCTATTAACCCTCCCTGCATGCCAGACACCACTCTAAGCCCTCTGTATAGATTAATGCTTTCGATCTTCACAGAAACCTCATGAGATATTTCTATTACCTCCATTCTACACATGAAGGAAGAGCAAGAGAAATTAAGTAATACTACCGAAATCATGTAGCCAGTTGAGCTCTGAAGTCTGTTAACTATAAGAGGAACTTTAAATGCTATAAAGAAGCCAGACCAGGTCTAACTGTCAGCTGTGGACCTGGGACAAGCCACTTGTCTTTATCTGCCTCAGTGTCTTATAAAATGGGAAGTTAGTAACACATATCTCATAGGGTTGTGGGAAGATTGAAGGAATTAATTCACAAGAGTTATTATTATAATTATGACCTGAAAGGTACGTGATCCTAAGGGGTCTACCCTCCCAACTAGAATATAAATTCCATGAGGACAAGAAGTCATCCTGTTGGTTGCTGGGACTCCAAAAACTAAAAATCTGGC